TAAGTGATGTAGATAGAACTACTAATAGCCTACAGATAAATACAGATGGAATTACCCTCAAAAAACGACAAGATAGAGTTACTGAAAGTCAGTTTCTTGATTTCTAAAACATCTAAACAGATGTCATTTGTTAAACTTTTTCTAGAAAATATCAAATAATAATTTTGGCATAAATGAAAACCGTCTTATCGCGCTAGCGCACAAAATAACACGTTAAAGCAATAACAAAAATTATATTGCTATGACTATTTAAAAAACTTACCAGACGTTTATATGTCCTTTGCACACATTTTCCACATGCATCAACTCCAAAACATCCTTCACATGCCAACTTAAATATTTAAGCCAATCTTTGTTTGCTTCTCCCCAAACTACACAAGCACAACAAAAGTCTTTATTAGTGTTATTTTTTAGAATAAAACCAATAAATGAACTTGGGTGATCAGAATTAGCTGAAAAATGAGTCTTTTGTCTTTGTTTTGACTGATTTATCTTTTTTTATTTTGTCTTCTGTTTAACACTGACCACATTTTTTATTAGAGCTTTTTAGCCTTTTTATAAACTTAACATTATCTGGTAATGTAGTAAGAGCAATATGGCGTTTTGAATGAGTAAGTTTGCTTTTTTTCCGGGGAAGATACAATAGTCCTTAAAACAGATAATTTTGGGTCTCGCAGATGAAATTTTGTTTTATTAATTATCTCTTTTTCTTTTTTTTCTGTATTTGAAGTCTATCACTGTATTTCTTAGGGGTTGCAAACCGCAATAGTAAAACGCATTAATAATCAATCCTCTTTTTGTAAGTATGTTGGGCCATATTTTGTAAACAATAACGTGAAGGCTGTAATGATTTGTTAAAAATAATGTGAAAGTTTCAACGAGGCATAGAAATATTAGCATTTTCAACTAAACATTTAGAAAAGGCCTAAGACCATATATGTTTAACTACTTTACCAAAATGTGTGTCAAGTGGTTGAAGGCACTTCAACTACTTTATTAACAAGTGTGTCAAATAGTTAAAGGCAATGTCTACTATAAGGTGGAATGCATATTATTTCAATATCCATCTCTATTGCTTATGAAATTGCTTCAAAAATTATTTATCCAAAAAAAACAATACTTTTTTTCAATCCACTTTTGTAAGAAACTTATTAAAATGATGTAAAAAAAGTCAATAAACTTCTTTTAATCAATATATTCACTTTTACCAATGTACTTTTGTACCTAAAGAAAATTAAGATGCATCTGGAATCTTGTTTGTTTAAATATGAAAAATTGGTGGTTAACTTTTCCCTGCTGCATGTGGCCAGGTATGTTGTTAGTGTGTCATAGGTATGTTGTTAGTGTGTTAGAGTTTACAATGCATTGCGATAGAATTATTACAATTGGTTAATATTAAAAACTTAAAATGAGGCAAGATCGTGAGTTTTATATGTATGCCCCATATGATAGCCACATCAAATTTAGCACGTATTTATTTAAGGATTATGCCACATTAAGTGGAATAGTTATGTGAACCAATAGTTAATTTTTGTAATTCACGAGAGCCCTTTACACAAAACCACTTGGTTCAGACTAAAGCCGCTTTCATTGCAATTATAAATCAAATTTTACATACTTATTACTTACTATATATTCATTTTAGAGTATACATTGGAATAAGCTTGTTTACTTTTTTATTATTGTTAAATAAAATGTCTGAATAAAAAGAAAATTATTTCCTCCTCTAATTTTTTTTTTTTAATTATGATGCTACTATAAAAACCTAATTAAAACTTCTGTATCTAAAGTGGTTTCCTGCTTAGAATCTTTTACTGCTTGTGGCCCGGATAACATACCTGTCTTGCAGAAGTGTTCTCCGGAGCTGTCGCCTATCCTTTCAAAACTATTAAACTTGTTTTCCAGCCTGCTGGAAAGCAGCATCTGTTATCCCTATTTTTAAAAATTCTGGAGAGCGATCTGATTCGTCTAACTATCTTCCCATTAGTCTTCTTCCTATTTTAAGCAAGGTTTTTGAATTTTTTATAAACAAACGCTTAATCTCTCATCATGAACCTAATAACTTACTTTCTGATCATCAATATGGATTTTAATCATCTCGTTCTACGGGAGAGAGACTAACAGTAATAACCAATAGGTTTTATCGTGCATTAGATAAAGGTAGAGAGATTAAGGTCATTGCTCTTGATATTTCTAAAGCGTTTGATAAAGTTTTGCATGCTGGTCTTCGCCATAAACTTTCTTCTTACGGTGTATCTGAAAACATCTTTAAGATTATTGAATCCTTCCTTTCCAATCGTAGTATAAAAGTTGTCCTTGATGGACAGCACCCTCTTCTTATTATGTAACTTCAGTGGTTCCTCAAGATTCAATCGTTGACACTATACTCTTTTTAATTTACATTAACAATCTTCCATACTATATATTAAAAATTCTCACATCTAAGGTGGCATTGTTCGCTCATGATACTACCATTTATTCTTATCATGATAAGTAGCCAACACTCTCTGATTACTTGGAGGGGGCATTTGAGCTTGAAAAAGGTGTCACTTCTGCTACAGCATGGGCTCACAGTGGCTGGTGATCTTTAATTCAGATAAAACTCAATTTTTTTCAGCCAATTGTTATCTTAATAATTTAGTCTTTTCCATATTGATAAACAGTTATGTACTTGATGAATCATGTACCCTTCATCTACTAGGATTAACTCTTATTTCTGATTTGTCTTGGAAACCATATATCAAATCCGTTTCAAAATTAGCATCTGCTAAGGTTGCATCTCTTTATGGAGCTTGACACTTTCTTACTCTGGATTCTATTCTCTATCTCTATAAATCTCAAATCCGGTCTTGTATGGAATACTTTTGCCATATCTGGGGCGGATCTTCTAATCATGCCCTGTCTCTTTTAGACAAGATGCAAAAATGTATTGTAAGCATAGTTGGACCTGCTTTTGTAACCAACTTTTAACTATTATCACAGCGTCGTAATGTTGCTTCTCTTTCTCTTTTCTACAAATACAATAATAGGTACTGCTCTAAAGAGCTAACGTCTCTTGGACCATTTACTAAAATTAACTCTCGTTTTACTCGTCATTCAGTTGTCTCATCCTTTTTTCGTTTATGTTTCTAAGTGCTAAAAAAACTTTTATTCGTCTAGCTTTTTTCCTCGAACATCAGTTCTTTGGAATTCACTTGTTTTCCTGATTCATATTATTTGCAATCTTTTAATTTGTCTGTCAGTCGTTATCTTGCTCTACAATCTTCATATTTTCTCTTCCAGTAACTTCCAACACTAATTAGGGGTTGCTTGCAGCCTTGTTGGAAGCGAAGATGTTTAAAAAAAAAACTAAAAAAAAAAGCCGCGGAAACATAGTTGCTGCGGATGATTTTAAATGTATAAACGCAATAACCAAAGTTTTCTCGTCTAACTTCCTAAATTTCTCAGAAAAAATGTCAGAAAAAACATCGTCTATCCTAATTGTTGTAACCCAACTTAAAAATAACCCAAATAAAGTAAACTAATTTAAAGTAACTAAAACTGTGACCCAATTAAAATTATACGTACAATATTCGTATTCCGTCACAATAATACGAACAATATCTAAATTTTTGAAGAAAGGAGGTATTTAATAACGTAAATTTACCCGGAATTTACAAATAGATCCGATATAAATCGCAGCTAAAGTGTAACATGTAAAATGAGAAGGCTCTTCAGTTTTAAACAATGTTATAACAATGTTTATAACAATGCCCCCAAATGCGACTCATCTCTGCCAACCATTAGATGTTGCTGTTTTTAGAGGATTAAAGCAGTCGTGGAGGAGTATTCTTTTTAAGTGGAGATCAGAAAGTCGTATCAAAGGAGCTATCCCAAAAGAACATTTACCTACGCTTTTAAACAAACTACTTTGCGACCAGTAGCTTTGGTTAGTGGATTTAAAGCAACGGGAATCTACCCTATGGACAGAACAGAGGTTATAAAACGTCTTCCAGAAAAATATAAAGACCCTGGTGGTAATGACACTGTTATGGTTCTTAACGAATCTGTTTTAGATATTCTAAAAAACAATCTAGGGTTAGGCACAAATATAACTACAAAACGCAAACCTCGTGGTCCAAAGGTGGTACCAGGTAAAAGAATTCATTCTTTAGTTGAGTCAATTCCATCAAGTTCAACAGAGCTAAAAAGCAACACAGATAATGATTGGTACTGTACTTTCTGTAACAAAAAATGGGTAGAGTTAAGCGACGACGTGTGGGTTCAATGCGACAAATGCAGTAAACCATATCACCTCCAGTGTTGTGGCCTCATTTATGATAAAGATGATTATTATGAGCTCAATATTGAAAATATCTTATACTTTGTATGCAGCATGTGTGAGTCATTTGAAGAAATTTGAGGATAGTGATATTTAATGTTCTGTTTTTATGTGGAACAGATTTGTAAATATTGTGATACATGTTAATATATTGAAAAAACTAGTTTTTAAACATAGTATGCTAATTTTTCACATAAACTTAGTTTAAATAAAAATATGTTCTATGAAAAATAAACTTCATGTTATCTGTTTTGATCTTTAACAGTTTTTTCCCCCATTGTAATAAGGTAATATAGCGATATACTAGAATATAGAAATAATATGTAGTGTTCAAAGTCACCCCAAATTGGCCGTTTCGGAAATACGTATATGCTCGTATAAAACCAGAAAACTAAGGTATTTACTGCATAGTGTTGATCAGGCTTACGACTAATACAGGATGCTGAGTAGTATAATGTTCTGTTACAGAAAAAATGGTTGCAATTAGGCCGACAGTTTTCTTTCATGATGCAAAAATGTTCAAAAAGCGTTCATATTCACCCCCGTTTACTGTATTAAATAACGTAAATTTACCCGGAATTTACAAATAGATCCGATATAAATCGCAGCTTAAGTGTAACATGTAAAATGAGAAGGCTCTGAAGTAAAATGAGAAGGCTCTCAGTAAATGGGTGTGTGCTATTGTTTTAATGACCAATAATAAATGTGATTATGTAATAAATTCTCCTTAAAGATTTCATCTTTTTCATTTGGCATTAAAAAAAAGTTGAGCTTACAAGTGTGCTAGCTTTTAATATTAAAACATTGTAAATTTTGGATAGTTGTAAGTTTAAATATATATTTTTTTTACTTGTTAAGAATATCGTTGTAAAAATATAATAAAAAAATTCGTTTTGATAACAAATTTTATATTATAAGCTCTGTTAATAACATAAACTCAGGACTTATAAATTATAATATAATAATTATTATTATAATATAATATAAGCATAGAGAGTATATAGAGTTATAACTTATAACAGTGTTATAAGTTATAACTCTATATACTCTCTATGCTTATATTATATTATGGCAATTAGAACAAGTATATTAAAAAATATTTATTTCCAGCATGGCTGAAAATAATGTTTTTTAGTATTATATTGAAATTGTTGAATTTCTGTTTGATAACTAAAGTATGATCTCTTTTTTTAAAAAAGTGCATTTGACAATTTATAAAATGTCAAATATGTCATGACATCCACACTTTTACTTTTACTTTAAATAAATACAATATACTTAAAAAGTATATGCTTCTAAAAACTAATTATAACTCACTTAAAAATAAGTTTGCAGTAAAAAATAAAAGTAAATGTTCTTTCGCTTAATTAAAATACAGTTTTTGAAAAGTTTACCATAATGCCCATCTGATCTAGTTACCCTCCTTAACTTTACTCAGAAATAAGTTGGCAATAAAAAAAAATTGGTGTCACTCCTTTGATCAGATTTCTGTATGAGTGAAACCATCCTAATAAATAATCAATTTATTATTACAAATAACTTTATGCTTATAACTAACATTATAATATTTATTATTATTATTTCATTGTAATTTTGTAAACATTCTTATTACTACTTTTAATGTAATTTGTATTAATTTTATTATCTTATATTATTAATATATATTATTGTTATTATTACTATTATAATTGTAATTATTATGATTTTAATAAATAGCTTGTTGTTGTTGTTGTATTTACCTAATATATAAATAAATCATAATTTTCATTTACATTTTTAGCAAAAACTGCAATTTGTTCAAAAGTTTAATCAATAAGGAACTAATTTAATGTTGTGTTTTTGGTTTATTATTGTAACTTTAGTAACTGGTGTCACCTAAGTATTGGTTTTACAGGCTAGATCCAGGCTTACTTCACAATATATTTAGTAAGTTATTGTTTTATATCTATTTTTTGATTTATTTCATTTTATTTGATATGATTTTTATTCATCATTATTTAATCATCCTTGCTATATAAATTTAAATCATTAGATTTTGCTAAAGATTTTAAATTATTTAAAGTTTCAAATTAAAATTTTGTCATAGAAATGTGTGTTGCTTATATTTTTCTCCCTTGTCTTTATTAAAAAATTTAGTTTTTTCTGCGCTATATTTTCTTAATAAATATTCTGTAATTAGTGGATTTTTCCACTTGCTAAGCTTTTGATAAAATACTCCACTTTTATTTGATTGCTGAACTTCAATCATATACTATCATAAAAAATAACCTAAGTTGGATAAAAAACTTTTTAACAGAAAACAGAGAGTGGTCCTTAGTGACACTGTCTCAGATTGGCTACCAGTTGTCAGTGGTGTACCACAGGGATCAAATTTAGGACCACTGCTGTTTTTGATTTTCATTAATGATTTGCCATATCAAGTCAAAACCCTATTAAACTTTATGCTGATGATAGTAAAATAATCAGAAATTATATTTTTCCAGATATTTTTTAAACTTTTTATATTTTCCGGATAACTAAATAGTTTCCGAAAATACAATTTATAAAATTTTTTCTGTTTATTACTGTATTCAAATGAAACAGTAACAAGTATATATAAACAGTAAACTTGTTGTCCATAAATTACCAAACGTTATATTTAATTAACAAACAAAGGCAAAAAGATTAAAAGATTTCTCTCGCAGAATAAACCAAAAATTAATAAGCATATTAATTAAAGTTTAATAAAAATCCCAGCGCAAAAGAGCGAATGATCTCCTACTTTTAAAATAAAATTAGCGATGCGTGTCAAACTCTTCTCTTTTTAAAAAAAATTGTAAATTTACATTTTTTAAATAGCTCTTTTAGCTATTAGCAAAGAGATTTCGTTTTTATTGTTTTAAAACTTTTTTTAAGTAAACCACTTCGCTTATGGACTGAAACTTCTCTCTGTTTGTTTGTCGGTGGTTCAAAATTTATTACATCATTATTTCGTTTTCTGTCCAGTCGTACCATTGCAAGTCTCTATTCGTACACACTTCTTGAAAATATCATTTTTTCGCATAATTTCTAATTAATTGGAGACTTTTAAAAGTTTTGACGATGGTATTTAAAAAGTTACGACGATGGTAGAATAATACTAAAGCTGTCAGAGAAATCAGTTTTTAATTTCCGTCAAATATGAGATATATTGTTAAATTTAAACTCCTTAGAGATTAGTGAAGTCTCTAAGGAGTTTAAATGTATAGTTCAATCTAAGAATGAGAAATTTGGTATGACCTTCAACTAGTAGAAACTTTTATTAATCTTACAGTTACTGTAATACTATGGTGTAATATGGTCGTGCGGTACAACTTATTTTTGTAAAGGGTGAAAAAAACTTATAAAAAACTTATTATTACTGACTAAGATTAATTACTTTCTTAGTACTAAGTTATTACATGCAAATAAGTGTTATATAATAAAACTATATTCTAAACTATAAGGATTTTATTTTATGTAATTATTAAAAATTTTATATATAGTATATAATTTTAAAAATTTTAATAATTTTAAAAATAATTTTTATTTTATGTAATTTTAAAGAAAGAAGTAAATCAAATTGCTTTTAAGTGCCATTATAAGGTTTTTAAAAACATCGCATTTTGAGGTACGTTTTCTTTTCAATTCAAAAAGCACATGTCAAAATTAATTTTATTTCAATTAAAAAAAAAATCATATTTTTTAATCTTTTAAATTTTGAATCACATGAATGAGCACGTGAATCATTAATAATGAACATTAATAATGCCTCACCTTTTGTTTATCATAAAATAAATTTAAAATTTTTATTTAAACTTTATCTAACAAACGTTTAAACTTTTATAAAATTTGAATGTGGAGATTTTTTAATAAAAGAAGTTGTTGTACTAAAAATTAAGTTTAGACCATTTTAAGCACTGAGTCGAAGAACTAATTGTAGAAAAATAACGTATTACAGAAAAATAATTCAATATTTTTTTACTTTTTTAACATATTTATTACTAAAGATTTCTAATTTTTTGTATTTTAGAAGTCTGGTGTTTTATTATTATTATTATTTCCTATCTTTTTACTGCGATTGAAGTATGCTCCGAAAACAGTTATAATAAAATCCATTTATATTTTCCAAAAGTTGGTGTTTTACAGGTAAGGCGTTATTTATTTTACATACGCTAAAATAAATAACACCTATGGGATTTCAATTATGGTGGCGCCTCTGATCTGTAACAACGCGTTAAACGTTTTTCTATTTGTATATCTTTGGTGAGTTGAAGCAATATTTCATTATTCATTATGTATTTAAATGTATAAAAGCATGTCTAAAAAAGTTTCCGCATTGTTTAACAGCTTTTAAATACATTTTTCTTCTTCTTTAACTTCATCTACTTCTTCTTATTATTATTGTTAAAATTTTATTGGTATTATTATTCTTTTTTGATGAAAAAAGTTATGTAGTTTTTTATTCATATATACGTTGAATAAGGATACTTTTAAACTGGCGTAATATTATAGTAATATAAAAGATGGAGGAGAGCACACTCTCTTCCCCTTTGTTAACATCTCTTTGTAAATTCCAAATTTTTTCCGGATATTACAAAAAAATTTTCCGGATTTTTTCCGGATATTTAAGGAAAATAATTTTTCGGATTTTTAAAATATGGCCAGGATAATCTATGAATAATAAATAGTATAAAAAGTATGAATGATTCAATAAGCTTTTAAAATGATATAAATAATGTAATGGTATGGTCATTTTTTTTTTATTTTTTTAATTTGCATTCACTCCCAACAAGGCTGCAAGCAACCACTATTAAGTTGGGAGTTAAAGGATTGAAGTGCGGGGAAAAAAACTAGATAAATAAAAGTTTTTAGAGCATGAAGGGACAGATACAATAAATGAATGAGACTTAAAACGAGAATGAAATTTTGTTGATGGATCTAGAGATGATAACTCCTTTGAGCAGTGACCATGATAGTATTTGTAGAAAGAAGGTTCAAGCTTAGCAGATAGTCCAGGTCCAACAACATTTAAAATGCGTTTTTGGACCTTGTCAAGAAGAGAAAGTGAATCATTAGAAGAACCAGCCCAAATATGACAACAGTATTCCAGAGATGAATAAGAGATTTGTAGAGGTAGAGAATAGAATTAGAAGTAAGGAAATGGCAAGCACGATAAAGAGAAGCAACCTTAGCAGAAGCTAATTTAGCAATCGATTGTATATATGGTTTCCATGAAAGGTCAGTAGTAAGTGATAATCCAAGAAGACGTAAAGAGGAGGACTCAGTAAGAGGATTGCCATTCATTAATATAGGAATGTTGACCATATTACGGTAGTTGTTTGCAGTAAGCAGCTGGGTTTTGTTAGAGTTGAAATTCACAAGCCACTGTGACCCCAATCTATTACTGAAGTGAGATCGGATTCAAGATCAGCTGCTTGTTCTAGGCGATCGAAAAGAGAAGACTTTTTGTCAAGACAGGAGTATAAAGTTGAGTCATCAGCAAAAAGAGCTACTTTAGATGATTGGTTGTCAGGAAGATCGTTTATGTAGATAAGAAACAAAACAGGACCCAGGTTGGAATCTTTGGGAACCCCAGAAGTTACTGGAAATAAAGAAGAGGCCTTCAAGGATGACTTTATTAAACCGGTTAGAAAGAAACGATTTGATAATCTCAAAAACTTTCCCAGAAACACCATATGAAGCAAGCTTATGGAGAAGACCAGCATGCCAAACTTTGTCAAAAGCTTTAGATATGTCGAGAGCAATAGCCCTAGCCTCACCGCCTCCATATAATGCACGATAAAATCTTTAAGTTACAGCAGTTAGCTAGTCGGCGGTAGAGCGAGAAGATCGAAAACCGTATTGATTGTATGACAGTAGTTTATTTGACTCAAGATGAGATGTGAGGAATTTGTTGATCAAAGACTCAAAGACCATGCTAATAACAGAAAGAAGACTGATCAGACGATAATTGGAGGGATCAGAATTTTCTCCAGAGTTTTTGAATATTGGAAAAATATATGCCATTTTCCAACATGCAGGAAAACAAGACTCAGTCAAACACTTGTTAAATAGTTTAGAGAGAACTGAAAAAAGTCTGGAGAAAAATTCTGCAAGACTGTGACAGGAATGTTGTCTGGACCACAAGCTGTAGACGAGTTTAATTGAGTAATGACTTTAGCAACAGAAGCCAGAGTGATTTGAATGTCTAACAATGGGTCAACCTGTTTGACTGGAATGGAAGGAAGAGAATGTCCATAAGATTCAAGAGTGGAATTAGAAAAAAGGTTCTTTGCAAATAGTTCTGCCTTATCCTTGGGAGAGGTAATAAGATCAGTCCCATGAATGAGAGATGGAATGTTAGATCTACACTTGTTAATAATAGTGTTGAAGATTTTCCAAAAGTTTTCAGAGCCTAACTTCTGTGATAAGATGCGAGATTTAGTGAACTGAGAATAATGGAGTTTAGCATCAGAAAGCACCTTTTTTATCGATTTCTTGCAATAATAAATAGCGGTTTGTTCTCAAGAGAGTTGTTCTTTTGAAAAAGATAAAAAAAATGATTACAATTAGATATAGCAGCCGCACAAGAAGGAGAAAACCATGGAGTAGAATGAGGCTTGACTTGAAACCGACGTGAAGGAATAAAAGCTTCCATTCCAGCCTGAATCCAGGAGGTTATGTAGGAAGCGCATTTGTCAGCTGAGAGAGAAAAAACATCAGCCCAAGGACCATCACAAAGAAATACACGAAAAGAATCCCAGTCAGCTTTAGGGTAGTAGTAGGTAGCGATGATAAGGTGAGTTTAAAAAAGAAGTTTGAGAAGAAAGATTTATAGAGATCATTGCATGGTCAGAACCACCTAAAGGAGAAAAGGGAGAAACTGAACATAAGCTAGGGTCAGAGACATGACATAAGTTAAGGAG